AACAACAACAACTAGTGGTTTAGTATTTAGAAGCTTACACTGCCAACCAAAAAAAACATGGTTCACCTCCGTGAAAAGTGAAAACTGCTGGAAGGTTAGCTATGGGTCTGTTCGGACTCAGCAGCACACAATATCAATTAACTGCTCCTGCAAAGTATGTGAGACAAAGTTTCATCATCCTTTAAGGATCACCCTAGTTGCACTTCCTTCATGACAGACCGAAGATTATAGGAAAATCTGTGAATCCCGTGAATGGGCAGTTCCACTATATCTTTTAGGATTGCTAAGAGCTGGAATCCACTCAACGAGACACAACATATAATGATACACAAATAATTTCTTCTCACTGTTTGCATTTTAAGTGTGCCTCAATTTTCAAATAAAACTGAATATTGCAGCAAACTTTTTGGAAAGAATTGGGCATTGGACTGTGTTAGTGAGGGAAGACCCTCTATGAGATGGATTGATTCGGTGACTGGGGTAATCGGGATGGGTGTGTCAGAGGCAGTGCGGTTGGCGCAGGATAGAGCAGGGTTTAGTGCTGTTGTGCATAGGGTCGCTATGAGTCACAAACAACTCGATGGCACATAACAACAACAACAACAACAAGATCCTCACAGTTGATAAGGTGGGGCACTAGAAGAATGCAAACAACTACAATCAGCAGACAATAGCCAGAGGACATTAATTCTACCATCTAAAATTCTGAAGGCTAATAGAGTAGGTCCTTAAAGGAGAAACAGCTTATATTAGAAAAAACAATACATAGGAATGAGTGTATGAAACACAATGTGAATGAAGAAGAGTGAGAAACACAATTATACAAACTTTGTAAGCAAACCAATATAAAAGATAAAAATAATTATAATAAAAGAGAAGGAGGTAGGAGAATGTCTTTTTCATTTTCTGTCATTAAACAACAACAACAATAAAAAGGCAAGCAGAGCAGAGGAAGAACAGGGGTGTGTAGAAGGATGAAGATGAACGCTCTGTCTTGTGTTTCCAAATTAAATGGTAAGAGTGGGAAGTTGCAGGAAATTAGCAATGAAGACAAAGAAGGACCAGGGGGCACCTAAACAAGATGAGATTATAGCTTGCCACAGCAGGAAACCTGTCATAAAGAACCTGACTAACCCAGCATTTTAGAAAGGAAAAGAATTTTAGTGACTGGGGTAATGGGGGCTGGTGTGTCGGAGATGGTGAGATTGGCACAGGATAGGGCAGCGTTTAGAGCTGTTGTTTATAGGGTCACTATGAGTCGCAGGCAACTCGACAGCACAAAACAACAACGCAACAATAAGATACTTTATATATAGATTCTAAAACAAATTTGTTACTTCTAAACCTAGGTCATTTGACTGTGTGGATCAAAACAAATTGTAGCTAGTGTTGAGAAGAATGGGAATTTCAGAACACCTGAAGTGTTCCTGTGGAACCTATACTTGGGCCAAGAAGCCGTAGCCAGAATAGAGCCAGAAAACACTGCATGGTTCAAAATCAGGAAAGGAGTGTGTCAGGGATGCATCCTGTCTCCATATATTTTCGATCAATGTGCAGAACAGATCATTTGGGAGCCTAGGCTTTATGGGGAGGAATGTGGCATCAGGATTGGAGGAAGTTTCATCAACAACCTGTGCTATGCATATGACACAACCTTGCTTGACTAAACTGAGGAGGACCTGAAGCATTTGCTGCAGAAGGTCAAGAACTGTAGTCTCCAATATGGATTGAAGCTCAACGTAAAGAAGACAACAATTTTCTCCATCAGGTCAATCAGCAGCACCATGAGAGATGGAGAGGAGATTAAAGTTGCTAATAATTTCAGTTTCCAACAATGAATGAATGAAACTCTAACTTTTCTGTAAACTTTTGCTTAAATCACAATTACAATAAAAACATTGCATTTTAAAAAAATCAGTTTCAGCTTTCTCGGTTCCATAATCAATACTCATGGCACCAGCAGTCAGGAAATAAAAAAGTCAATTGCACTGGAAAAATCTGTTGTCAAGGACCTCTCTAGAGCACTAAAGAGCAGCAATATCACTCTAAAGACTAAGGTGCACCTGACTCAGGCCATGCTCTTTGTGATTACTTGTTATGTATCAGAGAACTGAACAATAACTAGAGATGACAGAAGAAAGATTGATGCCTTTGAGTTGTGGTGCTGGTGAAGAGTGTTGAACATTCCATGGTCTGCCAAGAAAACAGAGATGTTTGTCTTGGAGAGGGTGAAATCAAGTTTCTCCTTGGAGGCAAAGACTTTGAAGCTCCATCTCACATACTTTAGGCATGTTGACAGGAGAGACCAGCCCTTAGAAAGGGCCTTCATGCTTTGACCAAGTCACAAATGGACAGAGAAATAAATGAAGGACACAGCTGAAGAGTCATAATAAAATGCCACAATGACCTGACTTAGAACATATTTCAAAGGTATTTATCCTTAGATCCTGAAATGCTCCCGAAGTCCCATTTCCACTGAATATGCAATAAAGAATGCTATTAATGTAAGTGTGTTGTGTGTGACTTATATCATTAAGAAGATAGGGGTAGGAAAAGACTAGGGCAATAAAGAGAAAAGCACTGTATTACATAAACTTGGGGAATCTTTTGCCTCTCCATATTGCCTCACTCTCCAAAAGCCCTGGGACAAAGGGGTAATAAGAGGTCATTTACAAACAGCTACAGCTCAGCCTTGTCTTTTCACCACAGCACTCATACAAAATCCCATTCCATGAACAGCATAAATTTGTGAGATGTTTAGACTATTTTGCTTAAGTCTCTAGATCACTGAATCCATTATGGTTGGCTTCTTTTGTCTAATTTGCATTCATTCCTTTGCTTCACAAAGCTCTGTAAAGGCATCTGGCCCATTTATGCCCAGTTTGTCTTTTGCAGTGCTGGGGTTTCTAGATCTCTTGAGGCATTAATCTTTATTTCTTGTTCTTCTGTTTCAGCTTCCACTACCAATTTGAGATACTCTGAAAATAGAAAGTACCAGAGGAAATGTCTATCTGGGCCTCATTGATTATTCAAGGACATTTGACCATGTAGATCACAACAACTTGTAGCTAAGCTTGAGGAGAGTGGGATTCTCAGAAAACCTGAATATGCTCATGCAAAAATCTATTACTTCAACC